GTTTTAGTTGACTTCTGATATACGTTTTGATATATTGATATGTTTTGTTTTCTCAGAGTTTGGTGGTAATATTGATGTGGCTACAATAACTAATTTCATTGATGATGGTGGAAATGTGTTAGTTGCTGCAAGTTCAGATATTGGTGAGTAGGACCAATGAGATTTGTGTCTTCAATTATTAGGGTTTTGAGCCCTATTGTAATTGCTATGTTTATTATTATTATTCCATCGTTTTTTTAAGCGCTGTAACTTGAAAAATATTACTGCAATAAAGTTAATATTTTGCAGGCTGATAAAGGGCCATGAGTTGTGGAGCATACCCCAAAACCAGCTATGTAGGTCACTTGACCTGGCCGCCATCTTAGGTATAACACAAACAGGAAGTGCTCAATTGCACCACTTTCTGAGGGTCTAGAAACTTCCGTTTTTTGTGTGTGGCAGCATTGGCTCATGTCTAGTAAATATCAGCAATAAAATCTTTAGCAGTCATGTGACCTTGGCCGCCATATTGGATTTACTGAAAATTGCCAAAAACTCTAAAAATGTTCTTCTTAAAAATGGCTCATTCATGTGCTTAGAAATTTGCTTTGTCCCATAGCTCTACAAAGTTACTGAAGCAGATTTTTGAAAAATGGCTTTCTTTGGCAGCCATCTTGGATTTAGTAAAAAGTGAAAGTACGCTATAACTCATGAACAATTCGCCAGATTAAAACCAAAGTTGGCATACAACATCCCTTCAATAAGATGATTGTGTTCATGAAAATATTTCCCACGATTCAAGTGGTTTTGGCTGCCATCTTGAATTTATCAAAAAAACGCAAAAAACCTCAAAAAAATGTTCTTCTTAAAAACCGCCCGCTTGTTTGACTAGCAAATTAGAATATGGCACCTATGTTGATAGCTCTACAAAGTTACTGAAACAGATTATTGAAAAATGGATTCCATTGGCAGCCATCTTGGATTTAGTAAAAGAGAAAAAGTTCTATAACTCATGAACTATTTGCCAGACTGATACAAAATTCGGTATGTGGAATCCTTGCATTAAGTTTATCATATTCCTGTGAAATCAAATCCATATATTGTGTAGTTTGTCTACCATCTTGCTTTCTAGACATGAAACGTTCGTCAAATAATCACATCAAGCAAGTGCAATTTGCCATGAGCCACGCAGGCTCGAAACCTGTCATCGCTGCTATGCAGCTATATTTTATATTTGTGTTAGCCCTGCAGTTGGATTGGTGTTCAGATTGCGTTTTGATCATCGGAGTGATTTGGTGATGTCACTGAAAGTTGATGACGTCATTGAAATTTGATGAAATCACTGAAATTTGATGACGTCACTGAAATTTAACGATGTCACTGAATTTGACAATGTCACTGAAACTTGATGTCACTGAAATTTGATGGACTGTGAAACTTGATGTCACTAAAGACTGATACTCTTGGACAGTGTTAATTTCTTTGATTATCTGATTGTTTTACAAGGTGAACCATTGAGAGATTTAGGTGCAGAATGTGGCATTGAATTTGATGAGGAAAAAACAGCTGTGATTGATCATCTAAATTATGACATAGCCGATGATGGACAGGTAGGCATTTGACTTCCTGCACCCCAACCACCCACAGCAAATGTGATATCCCAGAGTTCAATGCGTTTTGTACCATCCAATATACACTTTATCTCCGCACGAGGGCGCAATTTCAAATTGAAAGAAAAACTAGCATACACGCTATGAGCATTCTATGACCTCAATTGACCCACCAGCCTCATTCCCAACTTGATACTGGAATTCTCATTTTTTTGATGTATTTGAAGTTTTTTACCCGGATCGTTTTAACCATTTCAATAAATAGTTATAGACCATAATTGATTATGTGAAATTACTGCATTTTTGGTGGTTTTTGGCCTACTCCTCTCACTGTTATGTTAGAATTACCGGGAGAGTGCCTTCTATGGATTTTCAACATGGCGGCTCACAATGTTACGTTCGGTAAGTCCTTATTTTTACGTTTTACACTAAAAAAAACAATTTTTAGAAAATAATGTTTGATTTCTTCAATTGTTGGCGCCTTTTTTGTTGCAAAAATGCTGGTCGTGAAAATGAGAAACGTAATTTTGTTGGGGATTTCGAGAGCTTTACGATATGTCCCTCATAGGAGTAGTGAATAAAGTGTCATAATGTATTTTGTCATTAATTTGCATACCATATATACACTATTGAGATACTATGGGTATAGGGATAAAATGAACATTTTCCATGTATCTGTTTTTGATACCAATGCATTTCATTCGTTTCTCCTCAATATTATTTTCTGACATATTATTCATAATAAATTATGTAATATTAAAGTGAGAATATACTAAATATAGTTAATATGATTTTCAAAAAAAATGTGCCACGCCCCCTCCACTTGCCCCATTTCTCCAGTAAACGTGACACACATTGATGTGTTTGAAGTTGAAGAATTAATACCTAGAAAATAGTGTCATTACAAATTTGACAATTTAGGCTGACTTTAGATTAGTTTTACAAAGTGTAAATAATAATTTATTATTATGACAGATTTTTGATATTAAATATTGAGATTAGTAATGCATCTTGTGTTTTGTTTCAGATCTTTTGTGCTGAACTTACCATGGACAGTTTGCATGTAACGAGTGATACCTGGCTTGATTTTATATACAACATGGAGATGTGATGCACATACCGGGTAGTGTGCATTTGTATTCCTTGTGTATGCCAAATAAAATTTCAAAATGTGATTCAGCAGAATCCAACAAATT